GCACTTGGTAATTACACCTTGGCTTGCAATTCTGATGATTACAGTTTGCTGAGGTAATTGAAATGTTAGTTCCCAAGCAGGAACCTTCCACTTGACCTGTATAGTCATGTGCTTTGAGATAACTTTAGAAAAATGCATTTGTGTTGGCAGAACTATTGTAGATACAGTACCACCTAGAGACAAAAATAAGAGATTTCCTGTAAGCATGAACATTTGGAAGAAGTTATATGGTGGTAAATGACCCTTCTTTTGTCAGGATGTATAGGGTCTGATGATTGTAATGTATATCTTTTAGCTTTCAAACTTTCAAATTTGTATTAGTTGTAGCTGTTTACCATATCTATTCTCTGTACCTTAAGCCCTCAAAAGTTGAAGCAGGCGAGTCGATAACCTGACTTCCTTTGTTTGGAATTGTGTGATTATATAATTTCGCTGTGTAAGTTACCATACTGTAACATGTAATATTATTATTTAGATTGCATTTAATACACTAGCTCAAGCTTTCATTCATGCATGGTGTTTCTTACCAATGGTCCTGCCCAAACTGAACGTCAAAATAAGGAATTGTTCACAAGATATGCAAGTTTAAAAGGGTGGGAATCTGGAAAAACAAGGATCCTCCTTTAATTAGGACTGAAATTGATGGTGGCCCTCTTATTTTAATTCATGTTTTTAATTTGACCTGCCTCTTCCCCTGTAATGTTTAGGGCACATAGATGAAGAGAACATTTTTTTGTATTTTAATGCATGAAAGTTAAATTACCAGTAACTGGCATCCACATAGTCATACAAAACAAGAATGTAAAGCTTTAGCTTAGTAGGTTAAAAAATTAAAATATAATAGTTTTGCAGACCATGTCTGACTTTTTATCCTGGCTCTGGATATTTATTCAAATAACATAGTCACTATCAGTCTCATTAACTCTCACTTTTCAATGAGCTTGTGGAAAGATGATAATATCATTATTTCTCCAAATGAAGAAAGGAAAGCCTGCCCTCTTACCACGGATAGTTCTGTTGGGTGTCATCAGTACAAATCTGGTATAATTTTTGCATGAAGGTGATTGTTCCAGGGTAGGCTAACCTTAAAAATTAGTTGTGAAAATTTCTTGAACCGGTCGTTGTACGTCTTGAATGTTTGACTCAATTTTACCTCCCTAACCTAAACTGAATACATAGAAAAATGAAATTTATTTGTTCTCCTTTTAAAGTGTGCTTCAAAATTACAGTCATCACAGGCTTAAACTATGGGTTTACAGGAAATCTGCATGTGCATGTGTTTTTTTCTTTAATACACATTTCCTTTTCAAAGAATTTTGTTTATCCAGCCTGTGCTGAATTCTGATTTTTCAACTGAATTTTGTTTTTTTTAATATTTTTAGATCTCCTAGTCCAGTTAATATTATTGTAATTAAAATAATTACATCAAATCTTGCAGATGTTTGGCACATTTTTTCTCTGATCCTCCTAACATTTTACCATGTGAAGGGACTGGTATTGGCTATAAAAGTATAGTCAAATTAAAGTTTTTGGCACAACATATGCATCAAGTTTTTGTAATAGAATATTGTATCCTTAAAACTAGTTTATCAGAATAAGAATGAGTTGCCAGGCACAAGTATGGCTTACAGGATGATAGTTCCCAGGTTTGAAAAAAGTCACTGCCTACTAAAATCGTCAGTTCCTGTGAATGTAAAAATGAAATCCAGGTATTAGCTAAAGTTTTCTTAAAGACGCCCACATTACATGCAGTTACAGCAGAGATTATTGAATTAAGTAACAGAAAAAATCTCAAAAAGACGTCGTTTATTTCCAGCCAGAGGACAATCATGAAACATGAAACATGAAACATGAAACATGAAACAAGAGTAGCCAAAAGCGAAAAAGTTTTGAAAAATTACACAGCTTTAAACACGAGTTGAAAATTACTTTTTTTGTTAATTTTCTACGCTTAACAGAGGAGGTTGAAACATTGGTGAAAAACGGTGGGGTGAGCATTCATACCTGGTAACTTCAAGAGAAGATATCAGAGAAGTTCATACGATTCTGGCGTATTGTTTTACTGACTCACCGTGCTCACTGCACGTATACACCTCAATCCACCAGTAATGTCATAACGCAAAGTGGTTTACTATCGTTTCTTTCAATTTTGGCTCATTTTCCCAAACCGAAATTATAAGTCACGCTCAATAGAATATAATTTCAACTGATGCTGACATCATGCGCTTCATCTGAAGAAGAAAACACTCCCTATCTTCGAAAATATATCATCTCAAATTATTTTATCTCTATTTACTTATTTATTTTATTTTAAGGGAGTTTTTACATAGGCTTAACCTCCAAACTTCCTTTTCTAGAAGTATCTTTTTTCTTAGTTTTTAATCTGTATACATAGTTTGTTTCTAGAATAAATAAAGTATGTATGTATGTATGTATGTATGTATGTAAAATTTGGTCACAACATCAAGAACAACGACGAAGGTCGTAAGCTGTCTGAGAGTACCGCTGACTAGCATGTGTGTAGTTGTGAGAACATCGTTCCCAGGTTCCAGACTTCGTCGATTCTTCCTTACCTCCCCACTCCCCGAACTGGTCTTTCAATCCATCGAAGAAACTCTTCTACAGCCAGTACTGAAGACTTTTATTACAGTTTTTATTCAGTATAACGTAGGACTGGAAAATAAACTAACAAAAACTCCGCTTTTAGTCCTGGCTAAGTCTATATATTATCACGAACCAACTAAAAATATGCAAAGGAATTATCAAGGGAAGCACTGTCCTGTAACAAACACCACAGAGAACATCAAGGTGTTTTATGCGAAAATAAATCCAAAGGAATTCTATGGCAGCAAATTCCAAATCTAATCTACACTTAGCCACAAGGGTGTTAACTGTAAAGAATGCCACTCCACCACCCATTCTGTCATGCCTGTCAAGTCGGATAGTAGGGTTGTACCCTGAAATTTGTCAAAAATCACTGCAGATGCGATGCGATGCGTTACGATGATGTTGAGCCAGGTTTCAGTGACTGCAAAAACATCAAACTCGTTCTCCGTCATCATTTGACAAAACCACTCTAAGAACGATACAGAGTGCAAACTAAAAAAGTTAAAGCAGCCTCTGCGTGGTTCAAAGAATAAACAAACTTAAAACACCATATCTAAAAACAGTTAAATAGCCCAATAACCGCTCTATATGCCTCCAAACTAACCTCTGTAATCGTATATTAACAGAACATAAAACCTCACCTCTAACTGGAGGCTACAATAATACTAAAAACAAACACTAGAACAAAAATTTAAATGAATGGGGAGAGAATGAAAATACAGTTGAATCCCGATAACTCAAACCCTTGGTAACTCGAATTCCCTGCTAACTTGAAGCAAAACTGATTTCCCTTGGATTCGCCTTATCAAAACCGTACTAATTCGCAGTAATTTTTACTTCCTTTCAGGTACTTTTCTTTGTAAATCTACCCTCAATAACTTAAAGTCAATTTCCGCTTTTTGCGGATTAATGAGCTATAACGTTTTGCACTGGAGGATTGCATTTAATCCCATTTATACTTATGACAAATTGATCGTTGTCAGTATCACACGTATGTCAATATCGCATGTCTGAAAACAAACAGTTTTGACAGTTCTTCCAGGAGAAGAGAATAATGGCATGTATAATCTATAATCGATCTGTTGTTTGTCATTACATGTCAATCTTGCCCAGTTCATTCTTGATAACAATAAAATGTTTCCTCTTTCCCTAAAAATTCAATGTGCACGGCACTTGCATCCCTTCTTCATCACCCTGGTTCACAGCCTTTCCAGTAACTACTGCAGGGCAGGAGTTTTGCTTATCGACCAGAAAAAAATTAGAAAACGATCTATGTAAATCGCCCAGTCTTTCCTTTCATCAAATGTCCACCACCTAGCCAGCTTTCGTAACACTCACAGCATAGTTTTCAACAATATTTTGTGGTTTTCATACTACTGTCAACTCCTCAAAAAGTTTTCGAGACCACATATCTTGATACTTTTTACTTTCTCCCTCAGCACAGCAATTTCACCTTTTAATTCCTAAACGATGTAGTTTCACCATAGCCTGACCAGCTGCTTCTTTTACAGTCGATGCAATGGTTTCCTTAAAGTCCTGTTATTTCAAATAGCTGTGTCTTTAGAAAGCGATTGACATGAAAGTCAATCTGAAACTAAATAAAATCAGTCAATTTACATTTAAAAAAACGGAGACACACGAAACACTTGTGATATGATATGCTAATCATCAATTGAACGATGTTGAAACAACATAAAAAGGACAGGAGGTTTTTAGCCCATCTTCTTTTGAAGTTTTTCAAATTTTCTGTCAGCCTGGAGAAAGGAAAAAGCAATTAAGAAGCCATGGAATGAGCTTACAAACGGAGAGCTCATAAATATCTTGCATAGATTTTATGTCAAGGCTTGCTCACATGACGGAAATTATTACAGCCGTGATTCAATGAAAGCAGTTCGTGCTGGCCCGGGTAGGTGTTTAAATAAGCAAAACATAAGCTTTAGTATCGTTGCTGATAGAGATCTTATGCTCGCAGATGCGCTCAATGCTCACCTAATCGGTAACTGAAGAACAGCTCTCCGCCACTGACAGTCGGCCAACTGTCAGCCGACAGTTGTTCAGTATCCCCATTGATGTCTTATCAGCATTAAGGTATGGATAACCTCTCTGCCAAGGTAGGGTGGGAGGGTGGGGCGACTTTTTCATTAGCGTCCTATTGCGAACTGACACCCTTGCATAATTAATCCAAGCCATGTTTCACCAAGTTAAGGTCGACGTGGAACATCGTAATCTCCTGAGGTTCCTGTGGTGGGACAATCCAGAGCTGAAGGGAGCCCCTGTAGAATTCAATACAATTGTCCACTTATTTGGTGCCATGTCGTCGCCGGGATGTGGCTTGCTCCCTCACCATGCATGTCCATTAGCTTGCCAAGATCAAATTTGGGTTCCTTGAGAACCTTAAACTTTCTGATGAACACATCGTGGAGAGGGTAGATAGACTGACATGCCCTCTCTATGTCTTGGCCAGGTGCATCTGGGATTAATTTGTTAACTGCATCCTTGAGGTCACCAGTGCTCACATCACGAGTAATGATGTCCACTATCTTCTTGCAAATGGCTTTCACCTATGAATGCTTGGCATAGGCTGTCTTCTTGATTCGGTTGCTCGCTTTGTTGTGAAACCAATGCAAAATAACCTCAAAAGGTAACCATCAGTGGTTTTCACATCAACAGCTGCCTCAATCAGGGTCTGTCATTTCTTGATCAGTGACCTGAGCTTGTCTGTTGTCACTCCATGTTGTGAAAGTTTGTGAGGCAGTTCTTACCTTGGATATCCTCAACAATAAGCTTGAACTTACTGAAAGCAACCTCATCATTTTGGAGGTCAGCCAATGATGCTTCAAACACACGTTCCTTAAAACCATCGGAAGCAATTTTAGTTCCAGTAGTCTTGGTCACCATAGTTTCGCCGATCTGTCAGATAGTGAACACGGACGGAGCCTTGACATCGTACCAATCTTTTTTGGTGAAGGGATCGACGATCTTCTATTTTAGTCCCTTTTTTCGAGCTGAAGAACAGATAGCCTTTATGTGTGACATCTAAGCTATGCTTCACCAAGTTAAGGTCGACGTGGAACAATGTAATCTTCTGAGGTTTCTGTGGTGGGACAATCCAGAGCTGAAGGGAGACCCTGTAGAATTCTGTATGACTGTCTAATTATTTGGCGCCACCTCATCGCCGTAATGTGCCAACTTTGCCCTTAAAACCATCGCAGACCAGTACAAAAAGGCCTTTGGCAGCCCGGTGGCAGACTTCATCCGAAGAAATTTCGACGTGGATGACGGACTGAAGTCAGTACAATCCGTCAAACAAGCCAAAGGGTTGATCAAGAACACCAAGTCCCTATGTCAAAGGGGTGGCTTTTGGCTGTACAGGTTTACTTCAAACAGCAGAGAAGTCTTGAACTCCATCCCAAAGGAAGATCGAGCAGCAGACACGAAGGACCATTGCCTCGTCAGTAACGATACTGCTATTGAATGTGCCTTGAGTGTTCATTGGTGCATAGAATCTGACACACTGACGAAGTTAAGAACGCAGAGCTGCACCACTTCTCCGACGCCTGTCATAATGGCTACAGGCAGTGTTCCTACATCCCATTGGTTGATGACAAGAACTGCGTCCATGGTTTTCTGGTGATGGGAAAGTCACGGGTAACGCCCCTTAAGCCAGTGACCATACCCAGACTAAAACTGACCGCTGCCATCGTCTCATCGAAGATCAGTTGCATGCTGCGGAAGGAGGTGGAGTACGCACAGATACAAGAAATTTCCTGGACTGACAGTAATATGGTGTTGGGCTACATCAATAATGATGCCAGAAGATTCCATGTCTTTGTTGGCAATCGCGTCCAGTAAATACGAGAACAGACATTCCCTTATCAGTGGCACTACGTTGGAACAAAATCCAATCCTGCAGATATCACCTCCCATGGTGCTGGGGCCCAAGAGCTAATCGACAACTTTTCGTGGTGGAATGCGCCAGATTTTCTCTGGAACTCACTTAAGGACTGGTATTCTGTAGACGACACTCCCTCAATCCCTCCTGAGGATCCGGAAGTCAAGAACGTTTCTGTAAGAGCAACCCAGATCCAAGAACCAAAGCTATACTCTCTATTGGAGCGCCTGAACTATTTCTCGAACTATTTCTTGAACTGGCATCGAGTAAAGAGAGCGTGTGACGAATCTTATCCTTTGCCACTATCACCAGTTAGTCAAGCATCAAGGTTGTGGCATCACTCAGAATGAAATCAGATTAAGTGGCTACTGGATCATTGGTGGAAGTTCCGTTGTTTCCAACCATATTTCCAAATGTGTGTCTTGCCGGAAGCTGAGAGGCCCCTGGTACATCAAAGAGGGCCACCGTGAAGTGAAGCATTATGGGGTGCTGTTTACATGTCTAGCATCCAGGGCTGTCCACCTCAAAGTTGCGGGCAGTATGTGTGACGATAGGTTTTTGCGCACTACACTGGACTTTCGCGGGAACGTACAAAATGGGGGAAATTAACTCGGTAGAGACCACTCGGCTTGCGAGAAGGGAAACTCGTCACGATTTCCTGGTACACGAAGATCTACTTAGACTACGTAGACTTTTATTCTAGGTCAGGTCAACAAGCGACATGACCTCTAGCGTACTCAAGTTTGTAATCATCAAAGCTGTACAAGGTACTTGCTTAAGGACTAACTGGTGTGAGATGCTATTGTTACACAGATCGAAATATTTGAATAGGGACACAAAGGAGCGGGAAAAGTCTCTTTGAAGTTAAACGAAAACTACTTAAATATTCCATCTGTTTCTACGACGAAAATAATCTCAAGATTAAAAGGACGGATACAATAAACTTGAGGCCATTACAATAGGAATTTAGGTGAGAATTCACAGCTTTGATATAGAAAATATACCTATCCTAATTACAATAGAGCAGCTCAGGAAATAAAACCGGAAAAGCAATTAAAAGTTTCTGCTTATCTGTGCAAGGTTGGTGTGGAAACTATCGTATGAAAAGAAATTAAAGTTACAAGTGTAAACTCAGCTGCTAACTACCATGGAAACCAATTTTTTCAGAAAGACCATTAACACTTATATTTACCTAAAATTCCACTAGTAATGATGAACAAAAGTATCGACATGCATCGACATAATGAAAACGAGTTACAAGCAAAATCTATTCCAAAAGCTACTGTGGTTTTTGTACACTTTTTGATTTACTAAAATGAAAGGACTGGAAATGGTTAAATGTGAAAGTTTACGAATAAATATGTTCCGAATAACAACCTCTGAAAAATCTGTAAATTTTCCCGTAACATCTGTCTACTAATTCGCTTCTCAATGCCTGTCGCCGGTTCGTGGGACGCCGCCACCCAGTGCGACAGTTGCGATCTGACCAAGGTACGAACTTTGTTGGTGCAAAACAACCAACACGAGAAGATACAGCACGAACTGGCAAAGAGAAACTGTGAATGGATAGATTTCAAAAGGAATGTCCCAGAGGCAAGTCATATGGGTGGGGCCTGGGAGCGTCAAATTCGTACTGTTCGAAATGTGTTGGCATCACTTCTCACACAGCACACTGCCCAGCTTGATGACCAAACCCTCAGAACCTTCATGGTAGAGGCTGAGGCCATCGTGAATTGTTGCCCCCTGACTGTTAAAACGATAAACTTTCCACAGATGCTTGAGTCTCTCACACCCAACCACTTACTTACCATGAAGTCCAAGGTAATATTGTCCCCACCTGGTGAATTCCAGCGTGCCAATCTGTACTCAAAGAAAAGATGGCGCAGAGTGCAATACCTTGCTAACGAGTTCTGAACGAGATGGAGGAAGGCGACTTACAGTCTCTCCAGCCAAGACAGAAGTGGGTAGCCACTCGAAGAAACCTGCAGGTTGATGACGTCGTCGTCATTATGGAGACCAAGAAAATGTTGGAAGGTCACGCGTGGAGGAAACATTCCCTGACAATGATGGCCTTGTCAGAAAAGTCCGCATCAAAGTTGCTGACCGGAAATTAGACAAAAATGGACGACCTGTTGGACCAGTGACCAGTCTATGTAGACCAGTTCAGAAATTATTTTATTGCTGTTGCTCCGCTAAATGTACGAGCTTACAGCCCATATCTAGAGACATTGATCTAAATAGTTAAATTTTAGTAGTTGATACAAGTTCTAATTTGTTTGATCAGTGTGGTAAATTTCTATCTTAATTTAAGGGAGCCATGTAACGAAGGCTATTTTTAGTCATGATTTGCGTGACGTCCAGTACCCTTTTGTTTTGTTTTGTGTGACATACCCTCGAACTGTTGGCATTAGGTTTCATTTGGCCACGAGACACTTGTTAGTCACAAGCATAGCCAGATCGAAGGATTGTCGAATTACTAGAATAATAGAATGGGGAAAGAGGTATGTCATCTTATTTATTTTTGTATTTATAAACTGAATCGTGTATAGTCGCAGGTAGTTTTGTTGCGCTTAAGATATTTGTGTTGTTTTGTTGATACTTCAAATAGTTAGCAACATAACAGGTTTTCTTATTGCAGGTAGAATGCTTGTTTCCAATGTAACCCGTTGCATATATACTTCATATTTTAATTTAGTATTTGCATGTTCTGCTAACTAAACATAAAAAAGAATGTTACTCTCTTAATATTTGTAAATATCATTATGAATGAATTAAACTCTGTTGAATTTTTCTGACCATAGTAAATTGGACAAAACATATTCACATGGAATTTTGAATGACACACACGTATAATGTGGTTGTGAAAAAAGTATGTCTATCACAAACCATCTGTACATGTAGCAATGTATAACCTTCATACTTAAAAACCTAAGGATTTCTATGTCCAGCCTACTCAAGTATTTCAGTCTCTGGTTTTTGCGGGGTTGTCTCTAAGGATTATGATAATCTTAACCGTATTTTTAGGAACATACAGTATATTCTTTAAATTATAAAATAATAGATTATGACAACTGCCCTTAATTTGAAATTAAAGTTCCCTGTAAATCAGAGCTAAGGTAGAGAAAGAAGGATTTAAGAGAGGATGTCAGCATCCGTCGCACAAATTCGAAATATTGTGACAAGTTGCCCAAAATTCGATTTCACTCCTACTTTCATATTTTGTAGCCCAGTATGTCCTAATAATTGTGGTGTAGTTTTTTTGTGAAAATATATTTCAGATTCCGAGAAATGATTTTTTTCGTTCGACCGCTAAAATATGCAAATTTTCATCTTGAATATTACCCGAGCTGTGTGACCTCATGTAACGAATAAACTTGACCTCCGGTATTTCTGTCAACATAATCCTTTGTTTTATCATCTAAACTTAATCCCCTGTCATTACTGGAGCTGGCAAAGAAATATTTATTTTTCGGTAAACATTTTTGTCCGATAAACCTTTCCTATGTCGAAAAGTAACATCAAAACAAAGACAGTTATAACAATGACCGATATGACAGAGTCTACTGAGCTTCGAGCTTTTAAAAGACAAAAGGATGGTTAAAAAGTTACTGTAAAAATTTCCTTGTCTATTGGTGTTGTTCTATCTTGAGACGAACTCAAAGTCCGGCAAAATTTACTTGCTAGCGACTATAAAAACATGCATGGTGTGTCTACTTATCGCCACCGTTTACTGGCATAAATCACTACAATTTGTTTAAAAAAATCTAACATAACACTCTTACCTTGTTTATTTATGATTTTATTAGCTGTTTCGATTATTATATAGCGCCTGGGTATTACGTTTTGACAGGATCCCAGGTTTTGCGTTGTATTTTCCCGTCCCCCATTTACATCCTAAACTAGTCACGTAATAATTTATCCTGACACAAATAAATATTTACCATATTTACCCTGTATAAAGATTTTTGTTTATGTTGAATTGAAAATATTAGAATATATTCCTTTT